AATACACGCATCTTGATAATACCTTATATATTTCCGACAACATTCGGGTTATTTATCCTAGTCAGGGGACTTTCGTGCAAAACAAAGCGTCGAAAATCTACAATAAATCAAGGTCAACCATTTACACTCAAAGACCGTGGAAAGACAGACGCGCATTCCGTGCCACATATATAAGATACCAATAAAATGGACACAAGCAGAACGGTTAAATTAGATTTCATCTATGAAGACAACGTTTGGCAAGATCACGAACATTTGCGCTGGATAACAGCTAATGTCGAAATTAGGATACTCACCAGAGGGTACATCGGCTACGGACCCCATTGCTATTTTAAGATCGGAAATCATTTGAGAATTAAGCTTGTACCTATTGCCAACGCAGGCAACAACAAAATTTGCAAATGGAGCAATAGAGAGGGGAGAATTCAGTACTACTTCGTCGATCCTGATGCAAACTTTGTTTCTCAAAAGCGCATTCTAACCTTATTGGAAATTTTTCCATCCCACAAACAACATCAAGCAATTTTGAATGAAAATATTTGGGATTTGAATTTTGATCGGTCCCTTTTGAATTCTTGTCAGGCGCCCAGAGACTGCATCAGCGCGGTTAAACAAATCATGCCGAATTCGGAAAACTTGAAATGAGTAGAATATATACAGAATTGTGACCAGAGACAAATTTCCACGGTAAGAAAATGTCTCATTGAAGTTGAGGCACGTAAGTCACCGCGATTAGTCTGTGCACGCAGTGCTAGTTAACACAGTGGACACACCCGCCACCGTTCGGTTGGGACTCCGGAACAGCCACGCAACAATAGTTAGCTGAGGTGTTTGTTCAATCTAGATGACATAGAAACAGCAATTGATCCACGGCTTCCTAAAGATGATTTTGAAGATACTTGAAGCATGCTTTGTGGCGCACCTTTTGTCATATGTTACATCTGTTTCAGGCATAACCACACCTCGAAGTCAAATAAGACTACTTATATTTGGCACTTGTTGGGCTCAAGGATTCTACGCTATTTGAAAGAATCATAAATTTCGAGATTCTGTCGGATGGCTAGAAATAAAGTGAGGGAAAAAGAAATGATCTGACAGTGTCCTTGTTAGGCAGAACTCCATGCGAATCCCTCTTTACCGTTCACAGTCAGGTGCTGCTACGGCCGAGAAGTCCATCCCACGCAAGATTGGCCTAGAATTCGGGACGCTTGCCGGTCCGGCATCAAGACGATTTCTTATTGGTAGAAAGTCTGGACCCAACAGCCAATCAGTACTGGCCGAATGCCGGTTGCCAATGCCGCATCCAGAACGCGTCAGAATTTCCAGGAAGTTATAAACGCCTACGTTATAGATATGAAGCGCTGTACAACTGTTCCTGACTCGTTTTGGGCGTTGTTTCGACGTAAACGCAGGCTTGGGAGGCTCAGAATGAGGACTAAGCTGGGAAAAATACCGTTACTACAGTCCTGAATTCCTATCTATATCCCACCATTATTCCTTTCATGCATCTGGGTCAAATTTTGATTGCATATTGGTGAACCGTCTGTTCCACACCCACCTACCTAATACCATTCAGAGGCTACGATACTTCCCAAAAGCTGTTACGTAACCCATGCATAACGAGTTCCACTCAGGTGACGGAAGTGCAGTTTGAGGGGCAAAGTCTCAACCACCTGCCACAATGACATCCGTTTCAACAGTGCAGTAACATTTTCCCGCTTTTTGCCTTTGCTCATACACCATTTGTTAGAAGAACTAACCGCACCATCGGAGAACTTTTGAACTCTAGGCGGCTAGTGAATTTTAAATTCTAGACTATTCCTGTCGATAGGCAGAAGAGAAAATTTAACGCCATCTTTAGCAGAGTTGAGACTCCAGCTGACTCTTCCCTCACCTGTGGATAACTGCTGGACTAAAAGGCCCAGGTAATCATCCCTTCAGTTGACAAACAAAACTGGTTCTACGTAGGCCGACGTCCTTACAAGTTTGGCGAATATTTAGACCAAAACCGTGGGCCAGAGATAGTTGGAATGGACGAGTTCCAAATTAGTAAAGACCTCATAGAATGTGATAAGTTTAGAGTTAAGTTTAGAGATAAGTTAGGTAACGCCTAACTGAGGCTCCTTAATAGGGAAAAATGTACCTGACTTTAAACATCATCTCCATGAACAGTTCAGATTTAATCAAAATGTTTTGTGTGCCTTTCTCCTGACGAAGCAGCCTTTGTACACAGTTTTCAAGAGAAAGAGAAAGGTGACAGCTGACTTGTGTGCGCACATCATGATATCCGGAGTCACCGAAACGGATGCCCGCAAAGTGAACTACCCAGGTACCTGGGCTCAATACTTTCGTTTGTCCAAAGTGCCTTCGCTGGTCACACAGGGGGTCCCCATTTCCCAGCGGCTTTCGAATCGAAAACAACTTATTTTGTGATTTAGAAGCTTCTAAACTCTGTTAATCTACTTTTTACTCATACCTAACGATTACAGTTATTGTGTGCTTGTGTGTATTACACGTCACGTCACGCTGATCATTATTCAAAATGGCCTCAACTGCTGATTGGCCATGATGAACTCGGCCTGCTAACTTGGGGTCATAACTGGTATCCCTTCATCTGTCTGAGCACACCAAAACTATAGGGTAAGGTGGGAAATTCCCAAGGGGACGGCCACTTGAAGTTCACCGAGTTGAGCGGCTGCGAATGGCACACAATGTAAAGACAGGTTGGAAATGGCATGAATTTCACCTGCTTCGCTACCAATGTTCTGCCAGAAATTAGTGAAATTCTTCCTTGTGTAGATTTCACCTGCTTCGCTACCAATGTTCTGCCAGAAATTAGTGAAATTCTTCCTTGCTCCTGAATGCTTGGTCTTCCAGCTATTTGGGTTGTTTGTTTCACTGGTTACTCTGTCTTTGTTTGTCCAGTCCACTTAGTTCACTCCTAGATTGTGATCCTTCCGGTATATTTTCCTTTATCGAAAATTCCCATTTATAATGAGAACTCAGATGGGTTGACGAACATGTTTTCGGGAGGGCCTTTTCAAGTCATACAATTGCAAAGGTTAAGAGAACACTATTTCACATATTTGAATGAGCATGGTGTCAATGGACAGGAAATCGGGTGTGACATGAAATTGACTACCTATCAAGGAAGAATTGGTTCAGGTAACCAGTAGGGTGACTTGAACGTTTCAGTGCGGGTAGTGCACAGGGTGTAAGTGTGGGCGAGGCGGATTGGCAAGTAAAACACAGAAGAACAAAGCATTTTTGCCGGCAAAGGATCAGGTCCCGATGTCCTATGACAATAGCTTCAGCCACTGCGATTTTGCGTTGCTGTACTGATCCGGGTTGATTAGCTGGTTGTGATGATGCATTGGAACAAGGAAAGCTAACGCTCACCAACGCCCTGAGAGACAGTGGGTTCCCCGACAAGTTTATTACAAAGCATTTGAACAGGGAGGAAGCCAACACCGCTACCGATACAGTTGGAAGAAAACCAGTTTACATTAGTCTCCCGTTTAGGGGAGATATACCGACCGACCTAATGAACAGAAGACTTTCTACCAGTTTAAACAAAGTTATCCCGGCCGCAAGACCCTGACCCTGGTTCACAAGCAATCGTCTGCGCTCCTTTTATCTCAAAGATGGAGTACCTATCCACGCCCAAAATATGTTAGTGTATTCATTCTCTTGCTACTGTGCAGCCAAAGAATGAAAGGACGCGATCCACCCTGGCTAGCTTCTGGAACTAGGAGGAAGATAACCAGCTCAGTAGCACAACACCTAGCAGACACGGCGCACAACGTGATACCCAGTCAAAGTTTCCGCGTTGTTTACAAGGCGCCAGCTAATCAACCCAGATCAGTACAGTAAGGCACAATCACAGCGGCTGAAGCTTTGGCCGTACGACATCGCGACCCGATCCTGTGTTGGCAAAAACGCTTTGTTCGTCTGTTGTACGTGCCATGATTCGGCTCACCTCCCCCCGCACTTACACCTTGTGCACTACCCACGCTGGCGAACTCAAGTCAGCCTACTGGTGACGTGAACTAGTTGTTCTTCGACAGGGAGCCAATGTCGTCTCTCACTCGATATGCTTTTCAAGTACACCATGCTCATTCAACTATGTTACATACTGCTCGCTTAACATTTGCAAATGTATTTTTCTATTTTTCGTTATTTTCAGAGTTTTATGTATCTGGGGTTCTTTTGTTTCACGGAGTCGGTAGGTAGGCTCACTCATTTTGTTCTGCAACCGTGATCTCGCTTTCTTGTGGCTTGACCTGGTAGATTGCCATGGTTTCAGTCCTTGTTGCGTCCTTTCTCGTCCTGCCAGGCGAGCAAAAATTGGTCGCGCCCATCAATAATACGATGGTGTTACTGGTTTTAGTCTGACAGCTTTCAGCTTGAGTAAACTTGCTGTTGGTTTGGCATATAACATCGATTTTGTCAGTTCCCCGTGTGTTGGTGAATAGGCAGACCGTTTGAGCATACTTATGGTCCATTCGAAAGAAATATAACAATGGGGAAATGTCAAATTTCTTCGCAGTGTCTTCTTGCTGTTGGATTGGCTGAGCTGAAACCGCTTATTCGGGAAAATGTCTTGACTTTTGAACCCACCTCAATTTCCGGATGGGAACTGAGGATAATTGCTCTGAGAGTTCAGAATTGTGGGTCTGTGTGTTTGTGTGTGTGTGTGTGTGTGGGTGGGTGTGCGGTCTTTCTATACACTTGGGACTGCACCCGTCCATTTTGTACTACTAGTCTTCATCACCTGCGACAGTGGTTAGAAATCATTCATCGCCGATAGTTCCGTTTGCCTTCAAGTTGCTCATTGATTCTATACTCTTGTTGATAGATTTGAAGATTTTGTTGGCTGATGTGACGATTGGACGGATTTACTGTTTGGTACTCTCACCAGATTTGTTGATTTCAGTATCGTGTCCATCCTGAACAACTGCTCCGCCCGTAGTTCACTTAAGGGGCTATCGGTTCAAGCCTTGTTCTTGCTTCTGTTTTTCCCGTTCCTAGTGGTTCTGTCCAACTTGGGAAATTTGATTTAAGCGGCCTGATGTACAAATTTATCTCAGGATGTCAGATCCACTGGACTTCAGGGGAAATTGTCTTGCTGACTCTTGTTTCGGTTGTGCGTATCTGTTGCCGTGAGTGTAGTGGTCATCTATCTCTAGCCATTCCTTGCAAGGAGTCTGGTTTGCTCTTGACATAAACGTTACACCACGTGAAACAG